CGACTTAAGCATTTTTAAAAAGATTCTCATCTTTATAAAGTCTTTCCAGAAATGCAACTTCATTTTCATGAAAACAACTACCCTTTGTCTTAGTGTATGCAATTTTTAAAATTCAGTTACATAACTATGACAAAAATTACAACTGGCCTAAACAGTTTGAGGAATGTGGTAGTGGTGGCTGCAGTCAGCTCCCAACAGCTCATAAGAACCAACTGGACACATCCCCTCCAAACCCCTCATTCAGTGATCTCACTTTGGTAGCTTGAAATCAGCCATGGTGGAAGTATTCATACAATAGATATCAGCAAACATTATAAATCAAGGCTTTTCTTTGGAGTGCTAAGTGTTAAAATTTACCAGCACACCACTAGTTTAGGTATACTAGCATACAGCCTACTGACCAAGACCCTTAATCATGCTCTAGGCTTCAGCCAAGACATTTTATAAAGTAAATGGTAAATAGAGTGTAATTAAGATAATTTCTACTTTATCTTCAAGATGGGCCAATGAGAAGCAATTACCATTTTTCATATTTCTTTTAAGTGTTACTGAAATGACACATTCAATCACATCATACTTCTACAGAAGTAACACAAGATTATTCATTATTCATTTTCCAATACTTTAAGAGACAAATCATCAGTTAAAGATAGTCTCTTTATATATACCTTTATTATGTTTATCTCCTATAATCATATCTGCTACAAAGCATAATAATTAGTAAGAAAAAAAATAACACATTCACATAAAAAGGCATGAAAAAAAATAAAGCAGTGACTAAATACATAGATGAAAAAAGTGAATAAGAATTTTAAATAAGGACAAGTGAAAGATGCCAAATAGCTAAATCCATTAATTTCAGTCATTATTAAACAGAGGGAAAGTTTAGAGTTGTGAAAATTTTATGTCTCCAAATACCAAGAAATAAATCAAGTAATTTAATATCCCAAAACAATAAAGTGTCTAAATATCTTGACTTTAATAAGTAACAAATAATGATTAAATATAAAGTGAAATATATTCTCTCTTAAGTAAGATATTGGGTCTAAAACACATTGATTCTATATTCTCACCATTTTATGATCATTAACAATCATAAGTTCCAGATATTTCATTTCTTCAAACACACCACGAGATGGCTGTAGAAAATAAAAATATATGGTCAGAAAATGGTTGGTATGAAATATCTTTAATGCTCACCATTACTTATAAATCAACTATGAATTTCCAAACAACTCTTTGCTAACAACTTTATAAAGACCTTAGAAGAAACTTGGTCAGAAAAAATTTAAAAAGTGACTGTAAAATATGGGTGAACATTCAAGTATACCTTTATTATATGTGTTTATCTCCTATAATCGTATCTGCTACAAAGCATAATAACTAGTAAGAAAAAAAATAACACATTCACATAACAAAGGCATGAAAAAAATAAAGCAGTGACTAAATACATTAAAAAAGTGGAGAATAGAATTTTAAATAAGGACAAGTGAAAGATGACAAATATATTCACAAAAGAACTTTATTTAATTATCATTAAAGTACTTATCAAGATAGCATTCTATGATTTGAATGTCTGTCCCTTCTGAAACTCATGTTGAAACTTGATCACCAACATATCAGTATTGAGAGGTGGTTCTGCCCTCATGAATGACTTAATCCATTCACAATTAATGGGTTAATGTGTTACTACAAAAGTGGGTCTGTTCTAAAAGCCAGGTTTGCTCTCTCTCATGCACCCCCTTTGCTATGTGACACCCTGTGCCACCTCAGGACTTTGTAGAGTCCCCACTAGCAAGAGGGCCCTCACCAGATGCATTCCCTAGACCTTGGACTTCCCAACCTGCAGAACTGTAAGAAATAAATTTCTTTTCTTAATAAATTACCCAGTCTCAGATATTCAGTTATGGCAACAGAAAATGAACTAACACACAGCCCATGTTGTTTTTATATGGTTTTGATATGTAAAAATATGCTAGAGAAAAATATATAGTGTAATTCTGTTAAATAAATCTCAATTTCTTTAGCATCAAGTTGTGATAAAAATATTCACATCTATGTCGAAGATCAGATGGCTGTAGGTGGATAGGCTGATTTCTGGATTCTCTATTCTGTTCCATTGGTCGGTGTATCTGTTTTTATGCTGTTTTGGTTACTATTGCTCTGTAGTATAGTTTAAACTCAGGTAGTATTATGCCTCCAGCTTTATTTACATTTTTTTTTTTTTTTTTTTTTTTTTTT